AGATATTTCAGTAAATGATAAGTATTTCTCTATGTTCTTTACCTATCAGTCCTATTTTTGTTCAGTCTTTAAAAACCTTAAAAATTAGGCTGAGCAAACATATAAATAATGCCTCCCTCCTTGTGACCTGTTGTGTTAAAAAAAAAAGCTTGCAAGAAATCAACCAGCAGCCACTGGGGAGAGTTGCCAGTCTGGGTGCCAAGTGCTCTGATGCCCCCTCAATGGAGAATTCTGCTCAAGCACAGTAGATGCTAAGCCAAGTCAGGCTCCAGTCAGTCAGTCACAAGATGCTATGGCACCACTGGTCCCCAGAAAGCCAAGAAACGATTTGACCTCTCTGACAACTCTCTCCATATGCACAGGACTGCGTGGAACCATCAATCTCTGCTCAACCTCTGCCCTTTCTTAGTGGCTCTCCCTCACTCTCCTCAAATGGGTGTACGGGTGGCTCAGGTGACCCAGGTCCTGCAGGACCATGGCATTTCCTGGTGCCCAAAATGAGTCTAAGGAAAGCCATTCTAAAAGCTCATTGCCCTCTAGTCATGCTGGCCTTCTTTCTGCCCCTCCAGCCCATTACAACGGTTCCCTTGGGGCCTTTGGACTTGAACTTCCCTCAGCCTGAGTTGCTTTCCCACCAGATTACCATGAGAGTGGCTCCTTCCTGTTCTTCAGTCTCACTGCAAAAGTCGCTCTTTAAAGAAGCCTTTGCCTCTTCACCCTAACGATGCTACTGGTCCCCAGTTACTCTGTCACTTAATGTGGCTATGTTTTCTTCATAGCACACATCTTAATTGTTTGTTTTCATGTATACTATTTTCTCCCCTGACTGGAATGTAAGTCCTGTAATGACAGAGATTTCATCAACCTTGTTCACCCTTGTAGACTCAGCATCTTAAATCCTACCTGGCACACAGTATGCGCTTAATAGAACTTTAAGAATGAATAAATGAATAAATAAACAAACAAATGAACTGATGAACGAGACAATCTGGTACAGAACCAGAGGGAAAAGGATCAAAGCAGAATTGGTCACCTGTCATCAACCACACTGCTGCCTTTTTTTTTTTGTCCCCAGTTTTACAAGAAGAACTGGGGTGAAACTACACGTGAATGGTAGAGTGGGGAAGCACAACCATAGAGGACATGGCTTTTTTATTCAATGCTCTATACATAAAACCACTCTGAAATGATTTGCAGAAGATTCTTCCAATTCAAATAGAGGAGGAAAAAAAACAAGAACATATTTCGATGTCAGCAAGGTAGTTCTGCCAACCTAATTACACCCCGTGACATGTAATTGTGAACCGCTGAAAGACAAATGGTGGAGCAAAGCACTTATTACAAACATACACAGAGGTAAGACTGAGGTGTTAATTTTGAGACAACTGTCATAAATCTGATTCCAGGATATTATTCCATTAACATTATTATTATTATAACAAAGAGTGTAAGGAGGATGACGAACTCCTTTCATGAATTTCGCAATACCTAGGAAATTAGGCTTACTAGTCAATGCCTGGCTGAGACATTTGAGAAAATAAGAGGACACAATGAAAATGACAGAATGCTAATTACACCAACATGAAGAGAGTTGTTCTATACATTACAGACTCATTTAAAATGCATTCTTATCTTTGTTTAGATACCATATTACTCAATCCAAGAAATGTACACTCCACAGCTCCTCATATGGCAGATTCAGCCTTTATAGAAGGCAAAAGTAAAATGAAACAAAAACAGAAAGCCCACATTTACAAAATGAGAAAAGGATGGGAATGGAACTGTGAATAGTGCCTTAGAGGCAAACTAGTCATTTTTCTTAAAATCAGAATAGAATGAAAGTATCTCTCCCCTGGAGGGGTTGATAAGTAACAGTTCCTAGTATATTAAAAGGTGACAAAAATCATGAAGTGCAGTACTGATAAATGTTCTACTTACTGCTATGTTTGAAAAACACTCTAAATTCTAAACAGTTGTTGTTTTATTATTTACTTTGTTATAAATTGATTTGTCATTATCATACATTCAAATTGTACAAATGTTTTTTTCTTGCTTTACTGGAATATCAGAATCAGGCTCAAAAACAGACTCAGAGCGGAGAGTTTTAAGGTTATGATATGTAATATGTAAAATACAGTGAAATCATTATGGATATTATCCCAAAAGTTTTTAAAACTTTTATTAATAATTCACCCATTTTAGTTCATGTGGGACTGCTTAATGTCATCTACTAAAAAAGAATACTAAGTTTATGTAAAATGTTATTCATTATGATTAAGACCTAGTCACTAAAGAAATCCAGAGGTATGGAATTTATGATCTTACATACATGTTTATAAAATGTGGACTCAGGAAAGAAGCATTTAATTTACCAAGGAATCCATTACAACTAATAGGACAATGGCAAATTTCAGTGTAGATGTCTTTTTTTTTTTAATAGATCTTTATTGGAGTATAACTGCTTCACAATACTGTGTTAGTTTCTGTTGTACACCAAAGTGAATCAGCCATATGCATACACATGTCCCCATACCCCCTCCCTCTTGAGCCTCCCTCCCACCCTCCCTATCCCACTCCTCTAGGTGGTTACAGAGCACCGAGCTGATCTCCCTGTGCTATGCTGCTGCTTCCCACTAGCTAACTATTTTACATTCGGTAGTGTATATATGTCGACGCTACTCTCACTTCGCCCCAGCTTTCCCCTCCCCAGCCCGTGTCCTCAAGTCCATTCTCTATGTCTACGTCTTTATTCCTGCCCTGCCACTAGGTTCATCAGTACCATTTTTTTGTTTTTCTTTTAAGATTCCATATATATGTGTTAGCATACGGTATTTGTTTTTCTCTTAGACGTCTTCTTGAGTGGCTCCTACTAGACTTGGGGTTTCTCTACTCCTCTTTAGGGTACAGAATTGACCTACAAGACTGTCATTTTTGTTTCAGTTTGCTTTATAGAGCCCCAAGAAAAGACTTGACCATAAGTAAGGCAACAGGGCCCCAGGAGCCAGCTGAGTCATAAACCTCACTCAGTTGCATGTGGCTCAAGGTGTGGGGATCCCGAGAGAGTCAAGCCAAGCAAGTGGAATCAATTTAGGTCAGAGTTAGGAAAAACAGTGCCTCCGTACCCCCAACTGGCAGTGGAAGATACCACAATCCCCCCTCCACTGTTCAAATACAGAGAGAGGTAACTAAGCCCAGGAAAACATCTAGACCAGGGCAGACTATTTCTACAGTCTAAAAAGAAGGAAAAAAATGGTATTTGACAACCAACCACAAATTTTTTAATGTACGGTTCTCCTGTTTTTAAGCATAAAAGCAGTCTTGTTCCTGCTAAGTTATTATCACCATCACAGTTTTTGACATTTGTGCCCAGTACCATTTGGCCGTAGGGTACTTAGGCTTACTACGTTAAAAAAAACAGATTTAGGCATGTTTAAGTCAATTTAAATATCTCAAAAAGAAGCAAACACACAGCTTGGGCACACAAACTTAAAAAGAAAAGCTTTATAGATTGGCCCACAGGTCAACAAATTCTGGTTTTGGCAGACTGATACCAGAAAGGAGCTATAGAAAATAAATAAGTTTCTCTGTATGAAAAATACTATGCCTCTGGTTCCCTCAGGTCAGAACATGGAACTGTTAGCAAACATGCCCTGAAAAACTGCAACTCTCATAAAGTGCTAAAAACTCCCAAGTAAACACGGTCCCTCAAAACGGTGTACAAGTCAGAAACATTTAACGAACGACCCTTCCTTTGCCAGTAATTCCACTCAAATTAGGTCCAGCAGTCTCTTCAAGGGGACCAAAGAAGACCCCTTGTTAAGACAAATTCTATATATAGACAGCCAAGACAATTACATGAGGCACATAACCAAATATATATAATGATCCTAGCTTTTACATTCCCATTATCTTCATGAATATAGGATAAACAGTCTAAATGACCTTCTCAGACCTCCTCAAGGATTAAAACTACCAGCCAGCTTTTAAAAAGTATACGTATATAGTAAAGATCAAAAGCAAATGTTCTGGTCAGTTCTTTTCTACTCATGGGTTTCACTAAGAATGTGTGCAGCCTTCAGGGAAAACACCACAAATGACAGCTGTTCAAAAGCATAGAAATTAATTGGCA